CAGCACAGCCCTTGGACACCAACATAGTCACAGGATACATCCTAGACCCTAGGCATCCATGTAGCCTTTGGTGGCACTACGGGCCAGACATTAGAGACCCCGGCTGTGGTGGGACCATGGACCTAGACAAGGCTCTCAGCTGCAGCTCAGGCCTGGATGTTACCATGTCACCTTGTAGCAGTGCAGGCCACTCAGATCTGTATAGCTCCAGCTGTAGCATGACCCTCAGATCCCCACCTGGCCTCAGGTGATGACTCATAATTTGCATGGCCTTCAGTGGTATCAGGAGCCATGGATCTCAACCCCGACCCTGGCTGTGGTAGGGCCATGGACCCAGACATAGTCCTACACCGCAACCTGGGCTTGGATGTCACCATGATCACCCAGGTGGCAGCACAGGCCATGCAAATTAGCACAGCTCCATTGGCTGTGTGGCCCTCAGACACCAACATGGGTGAGTCCCAAATTATAACCTTTTAATTTCATGTTGTCCCATTTGTCAGTTTGTCCCGTTGTCTTGATAACTAGAGTCCTCTTCAGAGAGGCCTTCCCTCTGTCTTCATAAGGAAGTGTTTTCTCCACTTTCCCTCTAGCAGATCCAGGGTTTCAGGTCCTGTGTTAATGTTCTTGGTGCATTTGGAGTTGAGTGCTCTGCAGGGTGAGAGGAGAGGATTATTCTTTTACATGTAGTTATCCCATTTATCAGTAAGGCTTTTTCTTTGCTGATTAATAAATACTTTTGTCACCAATGAGTGGTTTTTTGCTTGTCATTTTACTTTAGAACAACCCCCTTATTTTATCATCCAAAGCATTTTCCATCCAAAAGATTTTTATTCAATAGATTATTTTAAGCTAGAACATATTTGCAAAGTTATTCAACAGATACATTAGAAAAATTTCAAGCTGTGTTACTATAGTATGAAAACACTGCAAGATTAGGTGAGTAATTTACCATAAAACTTCATGGTTGGATTTATAAATCTTAGTCTGTTTTATTAAGGTGTGGTCCCAGAAGTCTGAAAATCACACACTTGCTACATGTACTTTGTAGAATCATTTATAACTTCTCTTGGACTTTTTAGACAAGACAAGAAAAGAAACAATAAGTAAAATTAAATTTCTTGAGTTTAAATAATCTGATAATGTTTTAGTAACACTTGATTATATACATTTTTACACACAGTTTGTATCTGCATCTAGTGTGTAGTCTCATTTGCATATGCTCAAATTTGTTGACCAATTGTGTGACTTTTCTGGGGAGATGTAAAATTAACATCTGCCCCCGACATTTCTACAGCACAAAGAGTGACTTTTTTTTTTTTTTTTTTTTAGGTTTTTCGAGACAGGGTTTCTCTGTGCAGCTTTGCGCCTTTCCTGGATCTCGCTCTGTAGACCAGGCTGGTCTCAAACTCACAAAGATCCGCCTGCCTCTGCCTCCCAAGTGCTGGGATTAAAGGCGTGCGCCACCACCGCCCAGCAAGAGTGACTTATTAATCTCATCTTAGTGGACAGCAATGAATTTATTAGAGATTACTCATGGAGCAATGCAAGACCTCAGACACTGGCATGAACCCCTCCCTTGCAGTTGCCCCACCCTCTCTACCAAACTCATAAATCCTTTGGCTCTATCTTAGAATTGATGCAACTTTGCTTCCTAGCACCACCTAGTGTGAGCGCAGTCGAGGTGAAGAAATACTGCCCCTGGGAAGGTTCCCTTGTTTCACTGCAGTCAGGCAAGTCAGATTAGCCTCATTCAAGCTGGCTGCAAGATGGAGATGTCGAGGATTCAGAGGTCTGTGTCATTCACCAGCTGATACATAGCCCAGACCCCTCATGGTGGCTACACCCTGAAGGAGGCGCTGCATACTTGTTAAAAGCAAAACATGCTTCCTGCATGGTAACAGCGGCTAGCACAGCCATGAACTTGTGGCAGCTCCTGCCACTAGACCTTATGAACAACAATATGGGATTAAGAATTGACACTGTGATGAGGAGTGATAAAGAAATTGTTGGTACACTTCTATGACTTGATGATTTCATCAATATGGTATTGGAAGATGCTACAGTCTGAAATTACACCAGAGGAAGAAGGCTATATATCATGAATTATAATTGGTCTCTACCGAATCCTGAGACCAAAGGGGGCAAGATCCTGTCTCTATGAATCCTCAGACTGAATGCCATGAACTCCTGTCTCCCCCTCGCCTTATATTCCTTTCTCTGCCCAGTCATATCACTTCCTGTCTCTACCTTCCTAGTGCTGGGATTAAAGGTGTGTGACGCCCCAATACTGGAATTAAAGGTGTGAACCACCACTGCTTGTCTGTTTCTCTTTTAGACTGGATCAATTTCGTGTAGCCCAGGGTGGCCTTGAACTCACAGAGATTCATCTGCCTCTGCCTTCCTAGTGTTGGGATTAAAGGTGTGCGCCACCACTGCCGGGCCTCTGTGGTTAACTAGTAGCTAGTTCTGTAAGCTTTATTTGTTAGTTCACAAACAAAATATCACCACAAGGATACAAAATTATACTAGATTTTACTAAATGGAAACAATGTAACAGTGCTGCTTCCTGGAGGGGAAGAGCTCGAAGTAGCAATGGATTTCCTTGAGTTTTGTTAGATTCTGGCTTTCTTCCTCCCCAAATTTTTAATGTTCATATTGTATAAAATGAATTTTTGTTAAAGGGAAATGCTTTGAAGACATATGCCCATTTTCTATGCTAATCATGATTATTTTGTAATAAGAGTTTTGTGTAGACTAAAAAATAAAGATGTTTTTGGTAAAACAAAACAAAACAAAAACCTTTAAACATTTGAGGTTTCAAGAGCCAAAGCTTTTGGTTTTAAATTTTGTAATGTTTCTCCTGGAAGACACAAAATGTTAGATAAACAATTCTACAATGTAAGGAAGGACCAGGCAGGAAAATGCAGCCACCTTCTCACTCCCCCACTGTCCAGGCACAAAAGCAGGTTCCCTCTGCTCTTTGTTGTGACTGCTGGTGGCAGGTCGCACTGATAAACACATTTTATTGACAGGAAAACCACATCTGGTAACTTGACACAAAACATTCTTCACTAGTGGGTATTTACAGAAAAAAAAAAAAAGCCTGCTCCCCTATCAGGCATTTTACAGCCTCATGTCAAATTAGTTTTCCTTATGCAAGCTACTGACTATAGGACATTTAAAAAGATGAAGCCTTAATCAGCTTAAAGTTCACTTTTCAGAAGTTTACTGTTACAATTGTGTTTAACTATTAATAACACAAAGGGTGTAAACTTGTCAAAAAACTTCTTTTTCATTGTGTAAAGCACAGCTCTCCCTAATCACTGGCTCATGTTGGATGAAAGTGTACTTTAAAGTCTCCATTTCTAAATTCTTATTGTCCCTTTCAGACTTATTAAAGGATCTGAAACTTACTGCAGATTCAGGAGATTCTTGGTGGCACCACGAAGTGTGTTTGTAAAATGACAACAGCTGTGCAGGCTGCACAGATCGCATCTTGAGACATTCAGCACAGAAAATACATCATAACGTTTCTTGGAAGGAAAATTCATATGAGATATTTTATTCTCTAACTCTTTTCCCTGTGAATGTGCCAGTATCTGACTGAAGCAACAAAACTCTTGGCCACTGTCCAGATTGCTTATACTTTGCATCTGCAGAGTCCAGAGGAATGAAAATATGGGAGGCACCGAGAAGCCAGGCTAATGGCTCTGGCCATGGGCCTGGCAGGGAGGGGAGCATAAGCTTGATGCAGAAGGGAAGTCGGGTGGCCTGGGGAAAGAGACTGGCAGGGATACCCTCTGGACAAGTATACAGCCTTGCAAGACTCAAGTGCCACTGTGGTAGGTGGCTGAGCAGTGGAGAGGAATCCCACTTTCTCATCTTTTTAAAAATTAAGAAAGTGTGTGTGTGTGTGTGTGTGTGTGTGTGTGTGTGTGTGTGTGTGTGTGTGTGTATTTGAATGTGAACCTGTGTGTCAGTGCTCATGGAGTCCAAAATTGGCTGTTGGATCCCACGGAGTTTGATTCACCACGGAGCCTTCTGTTCAGTCGCCAAGCTTAACATTGTACATCAGTTTCTTAACCCGTGAATCCCATCTCCATATGGGATGATGGAACTAAATGTGGCCATTGCAAAATTTTGCCAAGAACAAAAGGTTTGCACACATGCAATGGCCAAGATTAATTCACAGTGTGCATTGAACCTGAGGTGTTTCTGCAGTGGGTGCCAGGTTCCATCATGTGGCTTCCTCACACCTGTGGTTCTGACCACACAGCATGAGTACTTCTCACTGCTTGAGCCAACAGATCACACTTCCCTAATGAATTCTGAAACACCTTGGCTCAGAGTCTAGGCTATTGTTTGCTGTGATTACAGTATTTTCCCTGTGCATACATGATTTTCTGCTCTCATAGAAACATGACAGCTTAATTATGGAATATAAAGATTCAAATATTTTTCTATTTTTATTCTTTAGCATGTGAATATCATGTTAGCATATCTGTACATTGTATTATGTGAGACCATTTGATTTTAAAATTTGTGTTTTGAGTTTCTGACTTGAGTTAAATGAAGGGATGGTAAGTGAATTTTTGGCTTGGGATTAGGACAGAATTTCCAACTGGGAATGTGCACTGCACATCTGTGTAAAGCACAAGGGATGAAAAAAATAGACTAAGTCTGAGAGACACTGAAGTTTCCCTGTGTCTATAGCATCAAATATTCAACCAAGATTTAATTCCACATGCAAAGATAAATAATCCATCTCATTAGTTTTCAAATTTGCTGTCATCTTTAACCAATGGTAAAATTATATTATAACAAGCAGTTGTTCTAATATAAAATTCTTTAAGATTTATATTCAGTAAAAATGTTTGATTTATATACTTATATATCTACATACCTAAAGTTATATAAAAATTATTTGGGAAAAGGGGTGGGAAATGAGTGAGAAGCCCTCATCCTTTCCTATTCATAAGATACTGACTTTCCAGGGAAAGGACCATCTCCTTGTGTCCATTCCTACACTCCCAGTCCTGCCTGTATCACGGTGGGTCAGATGGGCACAAGCTGGGCCACTCAGGCCATGAGAGCAGGCTCGACAGGGCCTGAGTAGACTTGCTGGCTCCACTGGAAGTTTTCTGAGATGCTCATCCCATGTGAACATCTGGCTGCAGAAGGCCAAGGGGGAACATCTGGGTCCCCAAGGGGTGTCCTGGAAATAGTGCCATCAAAAAGGCAACTCAGATGGCCACTGGTTTATAGACAAACTGAGGACCAAAGGAATGTCAGGCAGAGCCAGGACTCAAAGGAGAGTACTTGCCTCTCAGGCACTAAGATGTCAAGATCCCACAGAGATCCCGCCTGACTTTTCAAAGAGGTCCATGATCAGGTGAGGATGGATTTCCTTCAGAGCTTGGTAGACTCGGTCTTTGCAGGCCCTGGTCCAGGACCTGCTGAAGCTGAAGAGCTTCCTCATCTTGTCTTGGTTGGTAGCCTCAGCTCGTACCGCCTCATATTCCTCTTCACTCAGCACAGCACCATGCAGTTTGTCCAAGACAGGGTCCACTGACGTTACTCGGGCTACCAGCTGCTCCCGATGCTGGTCCACGAAGTGTAGCAAGGCAGGGGCATCTAGGGATGAAGATGAGACTGGCACTGAGAGAAGAAAGGCTCCTCCATGGGCTCTCCCACTGGCTGCCCATTTTTTTTTTTCTCCACATACCTCTTCTGCACTCCTGGCTCCCTTCTTCCTCTGGAAGGTCATTTGAAAAAAAATCTGTACCTTCCTGAGGCCAGTTATTAGTGTGACAATTTACTTGACCAGGGGAAGGGGTTCCTGGTGGGGTGTTCAGGTTGGGAGTGGTGGAGTTATTGTCAGCATGGGAAGCAGCAAGGGGCATGAGAGGAACTCTGCCCTGGGCATGCGCCTCTCCTAACCCATCCTGGTGAGGTTTGCAAAGTGTGGTTCCCTCCTTCTCACTGCCCTTCTCCCAAGGATCAGATCATCTACCAGCAGAATACTATTGGCTTCTCTGACTTCTTATACTGACCTTTGTGGGCTGCAGGAATCATGGGCAGTGCAGATCTGAGGTCCTCTGGAAGAAAGGAGAGATGATGCATCTGTAATGATGCCTGTCACCTGTGAAACTCCCACCCATGCCTGAGATTTTTGAGAACGAACTACAGAAATTCTGATATAATCTGGAAGGTGACATTTCCTTACTCACACAGGGAATCTAGGCACCAGTCCTCTCATCATTGAGGGAGAAGACATGTGAATGAGCAATAGATATTTCTCCCATAGGATCATATCCTCAATTTTATCTTAGACTGTATTCTCTGTGGAGAGCTAACCAAGTCCCTTGCTACCTTAAATGATTTGATATTTGATCCTGGGTAGAAAACTACTTTCTTGTCCTTGTTTGACCTTGTACACTCACATGCCACAAATGTGTGTCCTTGATTTGATGTCTGAACCAATGTGAAGTAAAACTGAGGACATGGGAACAGTGAATTGGTTTTCCAACAAGTGAAAGGGGTTAATAAATTTTAGCTCATGAATAATTCCCAAGGGTTTGAGAAGACCCTAAATTCACTCTGCTCTAACAGCTCAGTGAAGTCATCTGAAGGACCCAGTTTGTAGTATTGGAAGCCCTGGTTCCATTTGTATGAAGGAAGGATGATATTCCTTGCACTCATAGATAAACTGGAGCATCTAATGAAGACAATGACCGATGGACCGTGAATTAAAAACAGATTGAGGACATAAGAGAGCCATGATTATAATTTTCCAGTATCTGAATCCTTTCCCACATGGAAGGGAATAGATCTTAATGAATCCCAACAAAAATAATTAACATGTAAAAGATGTTGGATTAATAAAAAAAAAATAGCAACAATGCTCCCATCAGCTAAGGATCACATTGTGAGATGGGTATGAATAGTATTTAACCTTTCCAATCATCCTACCAGTAACTAATTCTGGTCTCTGGTTTACAGGTGAGGAAGGTCAGACTCAAATGAGTTAAGTCATTTTCCAGGATCACCTGCAGAGTCAGTGCTGGAGTGAGATTCAAACCCTGGCCTGATGCTGGGGCAGGATAGTTCTCCACCTGTGGGTCGCTCAGGTCAAGGCCAAGCAAAGCCTATTCTTTGATCACATGTGAAGCCTGTTTGTAGCAGCTCAGGAGCAGGAACCACCACTGTTTGACAGCTGACAAGAGCTGGACATTCCCAGAGATATTGATTAGGGGAGCTTGGTTTTGGCATTGTGGGTGCTGGACTAAGACTGTATTGTTACTTCACTCAAGAAATGTCACTATTTTGTTTTTTCTCTTGTCCATGTCAGCTTGAAAGTATGGATGAGTCTACAATAGCTGAACAAATAATGTAAAATCCAAAATTTTGGACAGAAAAACCTAACCATGGAAATGAAAGCACACTATAAGAAAAATTTAAAGGTATACATCAAAGAAAGAAATCAAGGGAGGCCTTAGGAGGTGCTAAGACACCCCGGCCATGGTCATTGTCTGGAAGAATCAATATGTGAAAATAGCCATCCTATTAAAAGCACACTGCATACTCAAAGCAGTACCAATCAAGATTACAGGGACATTTTTCACATATACAGTGGGAAAAATGCTGAAATACATGTGGAAACACAAGAGACACAGATGTCCAAGGTAATTCTGAAGAAAATCAACTTTGTGGAAAGATTCATCACACCTTATTTCAAACCAAGACTACAGCCATAGCAAAAAAGATGTTCAGATCAAAGGAATAGAATAGACAACCTAGATAAAATCCACAAAACTACTACTGGCCTTTGACAAAGAACCCAAAATATACTTTGGAGAAAGGACAGCCTGTTCAACAAATGATACTAAAAAACCTCCATAGCAACAAGTGGAAAGATTAAGGTAGGTGCCTATACCTCTCCTTTAGAAATTACCTGCAAATGACCAAAGACCTCAATGTTGGACCTAATACCCTGAACCTGGTGGAAGAAAAAGTAGGAAGACCATTTCAACACAGGAGCATAAGTCAGGGTTGTGTGAATAAGACTCCGGTAGAATAGGAAGTAAATCCAATAGTTGATAAATTGGATCTCAGGAGACTAAAAAAGTTCTGTATAACAAAGGAAACTTAATTGAGTGAAGATACAGTGAAGAATGGGGAAACTATTTCCCAGCTAACATCTGACAGAAGATTAGTAACTAGAATATATTTGGAACTCAAAAACCTAAACAACAAGAAAATAACCCAGTCCTAAGATTGGCCATAGCAGTAACAGAATTCTCAAAGGAAGAAATACACATGGCTAGTAAACACTTAGCTGTTAGGGAAATGCAAGTTTAAATCACTTATGATTCCATCTCATCCCTTGATAATGTTCAATATCAAGGACACAAATGTTAATGAATGCCAGGCAGTGGTGGTGCTTGCCTTTAATCTTAGCATTTAGGAGGCAGAGGCAGGTGGGTCTTCATGCGTTTGAGGCCACCCTGGTCTACCAGGAGAGTTCCAGGGCAGCCAGGGCTACACATAGTGAAACCCTGTCTCAAAAAACTAAAAACAAACAAACAAACAAACCAAAAGATAACGAGTATGTGGGGACAGAGAAACACTTATACACTAGCATGTTCAAGAGCAAACTAGTGCAGGCACTGTGGCAATCAATCTAGAGGCTTCTTAAAAACTGACAAAAGAACTACCATATTACCCAGCCATACCAACTCCTGGTAATATATTCAAAGGAATATAAATTCTGCTGTGGAGGCATTTGCACAACCATGTTTATGGAAGTTCTGTTCACAATAGCTAAGAAATGTAATCAGCCTAGATGTCCATCAACAGTTAATTAGATAACTAATTTCTACCACATGTATACCATGGAATTTTTTCAGGTGTGAAGAAAATAGTATTATGAAAGGTAAGTGTATACAATAGGAAAAATACAGAGGAAGATAAGCCAGGCCCAGAAAGAAAAACACCACATCTCTTTCACATGCAGTTTCTATCCTGGAATCTTTAGTTTTGTGTGTTTAACTTGGTGTACCCCTGGAACTCAGAAAACTAGAAATGGGCAGGGCCTTAGGGAGGAAAGGAGGACGGTAGTGTATTGGTAAAATGAGGGTAGAGAGGGAGTACTGGGGGCAGAAATATTCAAATAGCAAATAGTAGGGGAGGAGGTGATGAGTAGGTCAGTGGGATGGATTACTGAAAATGCAGACAGTATTTAAAAGTCTCAATGAAACTTATTATTTGGTAACCCAATCAGTATAAAAATCACCAAAGAGTTCGATTGCAAGACACCCTACAAGGCTTGAGATGGGAGATCTTAGAAGCAATGTGTTTCAAAACAAAAACCCAGTTCCATAGGAGCTGTTGGGCAGGGAGGCCCTGGAGGTCTCCAAGAGAATACAGGTGCATGTCATTCTTCTTGGCTCCCCATCAGAACTAGTGAATAAGACCTTATTGCTGAAGACACCATACATCTTGGACATGTAGTGTAGAGATTTCAAGCTGGAACTGAGTTGGAAGCTTCCTTTTGATGCTAAGCTTTTATAGAGTCAGATGGTGTTATTCAGGCTGCTGAGGAAGAAAAGGCATCAACAAACATCCTGCCAGGCCAGATGCAATCGTGGCACAATTGTGATGGGAGTAACCAGTAGCTCCCTGATTACACTTCAGGCCCACTCACAAAATAGAATCCAATCCTAGCACCGTAAAGTTAGTAAAACAAACAAATCCAGGTCTTTGAAGGTATTAGTCTTTTGAGAGAAGCCCTATTGATGCTTAGCTAAATGGACATAGAATCAATGCCCTTCTAAACATCAATGTTTATATCACAAACAAAGACTACTTTTAATTTTCCTCAGAAAAGCCTCTCTTTGCTGTGAATAGAGGTTAATGTAGATACCTACAGCTGTGCAGGATACTGAGAATAAGGGATGGTTGAGTACTCATCCCTATATATAGATATTTATACACACTCTTTTTTTTTTAATGCCGAATGCTGTTTATTGAAGGAGGGAAGAGGTCTTAAATACAGGCTTATAGCACAATGAGAGAACCCCGGAGGGCAGAAGTTCGCTACCGATGTTTTACAATCTTGCATCTAAGCTGTTAACGCCCACTATGCAGAATACACAGACAAGGAACTTCCCTTAAGCATTCAGGAGGGTGGAACCCGGCAGGGAATTAGCATAGGGAGGATATCAAGGTCAAGGTCAGCAAGCAAGGCAACAGTTACCCAAAACGGGGGTCAGAGCCCTACAGGTCCCCCTTTTACTAAAAAATGAGCTTCTGACTTAGGTTGCATGGGACGTCAGCAGGTCACCTTACCCGTCATGGAGACGCCTGCCCAGGCCACACAGGTGCTCTGTCTTAGGTTGGTGAGCGCCCCCCAGGCATTACCCATCTCTGAATACTCATTATCATACAGGCTCAATTGTGTGTGAGTTGCAGAGTTAACTGCTGTCAAAGATCTCAAAGTGGCACTCAGCTTGCAATTTGTGTGTTCGACACAGAAAAGACCAATAGAGGTGCTATCCCACCCATAGCCAGTAGGCTAAAGGCAACTGAGCCATTCCCTTCCTTAATGAGCCTTACTGCAAGTTGGAGTCCTTGTAATATGGTTATACACACTCTTAAGGCTCTAGGAACATTGTAGAAGAGGAAGTGGAAAGAAGTAGCAAAAAGATACGGAGAAGGGCTGTGAAGTGCTGTCTTCTAAGCATGACATGACCATGGCCATCATGAACTCATATCACCTGCACCGACTGTCTCTGGACCCACACAAGTAGGGCCTGCCCATCAGTCAGCTGGACATGGGGGAGCAGCTCCCAGGGACAGTACCACTTTTGCTAAACTATTGACAAATAGTAGATGATGGAGACAAGGGAGGTATACATTCCATCTGTATGCCTGCTGGTGAGCTCACTAGGTTTTACTGGATAGTGCAAAATCCATGGGCACACAGATGGTCCCAGTTAAACTCTGTTAGATATAAAGAAAAGCTTTATGAATGTGTAAAAGAGATTTGTATTAAAGAAGAGGAAGGAGAGAAGAAGGTGTGTTTAGGGTGGAGTTACTAGAATGCATGGTATGCATGTATAAAATTGTCAACAACAAAATTTATTTAAAAGTTATGTATGGATTTGAGATTGAGTATCTCATATTAGCAAAATTCCTTCATTTTAAAGCTGAGTTATTATGTGAACTGGAGCCAGATGCTTTGTGCATCTCAAAATCTGTCATTTCAAGGTCAGTAGGGGAGGAAATTAGGATACAAGACTATGAAAATGGGGCTTAGGGTATGGGGTGTTTTCAATATGATGTGTTCCATGATAATGCTTATGTGTTGAAAGATTAGTCCTGCAGCCCTATTAAAGGTGACTGTTCCTGTGAATTTATGAATGACATCATACACTAATGCACTCATAACTTTGTGAGTACTAAGAATGGAAACAATATGAGTGTACATTGGAAGATGGTCACTGGAGGGATGTCCTGGAAAAGAACAATATCTTGCAAGGACTTCATTCCCTCTCCTCTCCTCTCCTCTCCTCTCCTCTCCTCTCCTCTCCTCTCCTCTCCTCTCCTCTCCTCTCCTCTCGTCTCCCTGTCTCTTCTTCTCTTCCCCACTTCCTCTTCTCCTCCCTCGATCTCACTCTAACTCACTCTCCCCTCTGTACTCCACAGCTACCAGGAAAACAGCCTCCTGTCTCACAAGCTCCCTGCCCATGATATCCTGTCTCACATCAGGCACAAAGAGATGGAGGCAGTTGATCATTGACTGAAACTTGGTTCTAAGACCATGAATCAAAATAAACCTTTCTATTTTTAAGGGTTTTTTTTTCTCACATATTTTTTGACAATTGGGAACAGCTGACTAACACGGCATCATAGTTTAAACTGTGGTCAGACCACCTGTTTTGGATCTAGCAAAAGCCACATAACTAATCTGACTATTTCATGGCACCAAGAATTAGTGACAACATACATTTTCCCATTCATTGTCTTTCTTCAACCTTTGGAGTATCTGGACCTAAACTAAGTTTACCTGGTTTCAGCAGGGCTTTCCATATGAGATTCATATGTTTCTTGTCTCTGATTTTCAGCTTAATGTCTGAACTCATGTGGCCAGCATAGATCTCAGAGAAGAGCTGGGATTCTCCAGGGCTCCGGTAGCACAGCTCTAGTTCCTGAAAAGAGAAAGAATTACTATGTGAGAATGAACTACTCATCCTGTGAAGGAGGGCTGTCCCCACCCCATACTTTCTTGATCTTGCTCACATCAGACACTGGCTGTCTTTTGCACTGAGGTAACCCACAGCCTTTGAACACACATCTTTACTCAGAAGGTTAAGGACCCAACTGGGACCCCATCTTGCTGTTTCTTTTCTCATCACTCTGACAAAAACCTGACAGGAAGCAACTTAAGTAAGGGTTTATGTTGTTTAGTTTCTTGGTGGGAAATGCATGGAAACTGGGACTCCACTCTAGGTGTCAGGAGATTCTGGCAGGGCTCATTATATCCCAGAGGATCAGGAATCCAAGTCTGAAGTGGGTAGCAGGGCATGGCTATAACCTTCATGGCCTGCCACTAGTGGCCTGCTTCTGATGGCCAGGCCTCACATATTTGTTTCCACCACTCCCCAAATACTAGCATAAACTGGGGATCAAGTATTTAGACATTTACACCTGTAGGAGACATTTCAGATTCAAACCATGACGAGTGAGAGCTCATCCTGAAAGTCCTGCTCATGCATCTTAAGTCAGGGTTTGCTGTCATGTTAGGCTTCCCCTTCTCTATGGCATATTGAATCTAATTCCTCAGTTCTCCAGGACTTCTGTATTCATGTGTGGTCCCTTAAATTGCTTTCTACCTAACTTTGATATATTCTTGCTCATCCCAAACCCCAATTGTTTTCTCCCCAATCTCAGTTTGCTGCAAAGCCTTGTAACCTGCCCCACAGTTTCCCAAGCCTGGCATCTGACCCTGAAGAGTAGCAAACACCTGGATGCTCACCTTTGGGATGATTTCCAGCTTCTTAGAAGCAGACACTGTGTAGCGGGATCCAATATAAAGAGAGTCTAGTGGGGGTGGCTTGTTTATTCGAACAAACTGAAATTTCATTTCTTCATCATCAATGGCCTAAGGAACATTGCCGACAGCAATTTAGCTAGATTTCTGGGCTACAACATCGATCTGGTCTGAATAAGCTGAGGTGATTGATCAGTACATTTGTGTGGGGTGGGGTGGTGACACCTCCTGGGCACCCTTCTGCCTTGTGTTCAGTCACACAGACTGTTGAATTATTGGCTCCTGTCATGTTCATTGTGGGAACAGGGTCCCTGCCATAGAGGAAGGGAGTTAGCTACATGTTGCACATGGAGAATCTTTCCTTTCCTTCTGATAGGTGGAAAGAGGCCATAGAAGGCTGTGCAGGATTAAAGGGACATTAAAGGCAGTCGGGAGAGACTCAACTTGGGAGTTGGTGTGAGGGTGCCAAGCAGAGGGCAGATTCATAAACACCAGTGTTCTCTTTATAGGACTGCATCCCCACTCCAAGTAGAGGATCTCTCCATGGGGCTCACCAGCTGCATCTCAAGTTTTCTCTCAGCCCACCCTGGCCCCACTTTTGTGATTATCAGTGTCACCTTCCGAATGGTGCAGTCATTGGGGATCAGGTAGAGATGAAGGGTGACTTCCTTGAGATTGAAGTGATAGTAGATCAATGTGATGGAAGTGATGGGGATGAAGAGCCTGACCGCAGGGATCATTCTCAGTAGGACTCCCACTGGGGAGAAGGTTGGGTTTTCAAGCACTGTGTAATGCTGCTCCACTCTGTTGGGTGTTTCTAGGACCATCCCATGGTCTTGAAAGTGGGCCACACTGAACCAGGAGACGTCCACCTGTCCCTCTGTGAAAGAACAGATTCAAAGATGTAGATTTAGTGTTTCCATTGAGCCATGCTTGGCTGGAAAAATAGCACCCTAGGATTTAGAACAACTGTGGTGGTTTGAATGAGAATGGCCACTTTAGGTGGAACTGTTTGGGAAGGAGTAGGAGGCATGGCCTTGTTGGAAAAGATATGTCACTGGGGTGGGCTTAGAGGTTTCAAAGCTTGTGCTGTTTCCAGGTTCCTTTCTCTCTCCTCCTTGACAATAAGGATGTAAGCTCTCAGCTACTGCTCCAGTGCCAAGGCTGCAAGCTTTCTGCCATGCTCCCTGGCATGATGGTCACAGACTCACCCTCTGAATCTTTAAACCCTAATAAAATCTTTCTCCTATAAGTTGCTTTGGTTATGATTTCTATTTAGTTTGTATTTATTTTTTGATGTTTATGAGAAAAAACTATGACCAAAATTTAAGTTTTAATTAACTTTCAGTAACAACACAGCAGAGCTATCAAATGTTTCCTCATTATCAATTCACCTTGCCAAGGAGGGTGAGTGTGACCTGTTGCCAGTGGTGATTCATGCAGACTGACCCTCACTGGAGACCCTTTGGCCCTGTGTAGCTGCTGGGTGATCATTCACAGTGGAGTGAACATTCTGGATGATTTCATCTATAGATGCTATAGAGAATACTGCTTCAGAGGCTACTGTCAGAAACTTGAAAACCAGCAGGTTCTTTGAGGTGCTACCAACTAATGTGTTGCAGGATGCAGTTTGCCATTTTCAAAAAGACCCAAGGGTACCTTTGTTCACTGAAGACAGGCTGAATGAATCCCTGGGATGGTTAATGTCAAATGTGAACCAGATGAAATCTAGAATTAGCTTGGATGTAGGAGGCAAGGCATGATAGTAAGAGATTATCTTGATTGGATTAATTGAGTGGGGAAGACCTATCCACTGTGTGTAGCACCATTGTATAGACTAGGACCCAGGACTGTGTAAAATGGAGAAAGTCACATGAGCACAAGCATTCACTGTTCCCTGCTCGCTCTGTTGACACAAGGTACCAGGTGCCACAAGCTCCATGTTCTCAGACTTCCATGTCATGATGAACTGTCCCTTTGGACTGTGAGGAAAACAAATCCTTTCTATCTTAAGTTTCTTTGGTCAGGTATTTTGTTTGAGCTACAAGTAAAGTAACCTGGACAGAAATTGATACCAGAATTCAGGTTTTTGTTGTAATAAACCTAATCATGTGCTTCTTCAACTTTGAAACTGTTTTGTGGCTGGAATGTGAAGAGTTTTGTACTTAAGACTAGGAAAGCACTTCCATGCTGAGAGCAGAGTTTATGGGGACATTCGTGTGGAAGCAGGAAGTCAAGAATGCTGAGAGAGACAGTGGAGGCCAGTCCATGAAGTTGCAGAGAGCAGCAAGGTTTCCATTGGGAACTATAAAAGGATCCATTCATAAAATAGTTTTGTCAGGAATCTAGATTTATTGTGTTAATGCCCTGAATATGAGTGAAGATGAATTTAAACATAGAGACTAATTTGGTAGGAGGAGTTTCAGGACAGAAAACACCCAGAATGTTTCTACACAACCCGCTGTAGCTGTGAGAGAGCAGCGTCACTGAGGGGAAGGCTGCAGTGCAGGTGACAACAGGAAAGGGTCCCGAGGGACAATCTCACTCTTCACAGACTCATCTTGTGAAGATCCACGTTCATTTAAAGGCAGAAAGCCTGAAGTGATGGTGTTCCCTGTTCCCCAAATGCAAATGCAAGGAAGTGTTTCCCATGGTCAGCACATCATACAGCTCTGGTCCAAGGTGGCCACATCTCAAACTGTCAACAGAACTTGGCAGTGATGTTCCTATAGTTTTTTTAGACATGAAAGATGCTGGATTGAGGGGTCACTGAGACATTCTGCACAGTTTCAGAAAGCAGCTGAGGCCAGGCAATGTGCCTGAGTCAAAGATCCTGCAAGGAGGACCTGAGAGCTCATTCTATGGACCTTTGAAAGTGAAGCCTAAGGTGGAATGGACATCCGAGGATAACAAAGAAGCCAGAAACACATTTTTTTCTGCTAAATAAAGTTTTAGACCCAGAGTAGAGAGATTGCCTAAGGAGAGGTTGTGTGTGCTTCATGTGGTAAAATTGGAAGCTACCTATTCCCGTTGGAGTCCAGTGAATGACATCACGAGCTGCATAGCTGGACATGGAGCTGCAGGAGTTGTTGTTTATGCTGATGTAGTTTTTGTCTTGCTGTGGTCTGATAATTCCTTCATTCCTTGATTCTTCCAATTTTGAATGGCAATGTCTATTCTATGCCATTGTATGTTGGAAGTATGCAACTTGTTTTTTTATTTTATAGAAGCTCATATTTAAGATATTGTCTTGAATCTCAGAGAAGAGGTAGTCCTTATGGGCTTTTAAACTGTTGGAATTATTAAGGACTATGGGGACCTTTGAAATTATATTTTGCTTTATGAGACAAAACAGAAACTTTAGAGACATGAGGTAGAAAGTTACGAATTAAAGTGATGTGCTTGGGTGTCAAGTTGACAATGGGTGGAATCATGATGTTGAATCTCACTTGCCAGCTTGATGTGCCCCCTGCTAATGGAGGCACCGCTCTGCCGTCCACCATTTCCTGTTCCCTCAGTACTGAGTTTCCTTCCAAAGTGGTCCATGAAAAATGGCGTTTCTCTGTATGTTGTTTAGCAGAGAGCTTTTCTATTTCTCTTGGGTGATTGCTTTGGAATCAATTATCACCAGGAAATGAAACAATGAAATTGCTCCTGAATAGAGTGGTACAGCTTAGGATTTCCACAATAACATGCCAGCTAATAGTTTTACATGGAATCATACAGCACTCTAATGTACCCTGTGTGACATTTCTTGACCTTGACACCCTGATTTTCCCCAAATCAGCACCAGATCCTCGACTTGCCTAGGCCTTGTGCTATGTTATTTCGACATAGTCCCAGGAGATGCTGTATCTCTCCCACTTCCCTTCTTCCTAGGGTAAACGATGGTCATGACCTTCCCAGACTTGAGGGAAATGTGAGGTGCTGGAGTTTTTATTGTTAAGACCAGAAATTTCCTGAGGCATCTAAGATGACTTGGTAAGTTTTTCCATTTGTTTTCTCATTTTGGGTTTTTAGATACAGGGATTCACTATGTATGTCTAGTTAGAAGTCACAGCACTCTTGCCTAGCCATGGAACTCTGGGACCACAGGTATGTGCTCCCACCTGTCCCTGTGATTATCCTTCCTACACATATTGTCTTTCTATAACCTTTAATGGAATCACATATATTGATTTTCCAACTGTGTAGTTGTCTGATCTGAGAGTGGGAGTAGGAAACAGGAAAGGTGGTGGCCTGCAGGGAAGAGCTTGAGTGGTGACTGGGCAAGTGATCTTGGGGAGACCAGGAGCCCTGTGTGGTCCAGCTGGACTGGCCTCATTAGATACACTGGGGAGGCATCATCCAGGTAGCAGTGCTCCTGTGTCAGGGTCTCATGTGTTTATGAATGTGACTATTGTTTTTATTTGTTTTGTGAGTTCTTTTCAGCTGAGTCCTGCTTGTTTTCTTTATCTTCATTTGTGTTCATCGTTTGAGCTTGACATTTAATGTGAACATTTTAATCTGATGGGTGCTTTGCTTTCTATTCACGGTTCTTCTATCAGCTGGAACAGTCTGTATTTCTTCTTTAGTTTTTATGGCTTCTTCACCTGTCGGGTCCTCTCTTGACCTACTCCTCATCTTCATCACCATGAACAAACACTGTCTTCCTCTGCTGTGGACTGGATTCTCCTGGACCGTATTCTGGGCCTATTGCTGTGCTCCTTGAAGCAGGAGAAGAAGTTCGATCATTAGCCACTTGCACAACACCTGGTTCCTCGTTGTTGTTGCTTTTTCCTTTCTTAAGCATAGTCTGGCTGTGTCGTCTAGGCTGCACTTGAATTCAAAATTCTCCTGTCTCAGTCTCAGGAGATGTGGGATTACAGGTATATAGTAATAGCTTTCTTTATGAGATCTTTCACTGAGAACATTGTATTTATTAAAACATCTTCTTTTTGGTTACATTCTGTGGTTGCTTAGCTTAGTGTTCTTGTGGGATTCCTTTCAGCAGGAGCGGGTGTCTCTGATTCTTTTCTGTTCTCGGGACCATTTTCCTCCTTCTCTATTGCCTCATCTACTCTTGAAATGAGGGTTTGTGATTAGTCTTATTGCAACTTGTTATGCTGTCTTTAGTTGATATCACTTTGTACTTGGCTCTTTTCTGAAGGGAAACAGAGGACCAGTGGATCTGGAGGAGAGGGGAGGATACGGGTAACAGTGAGGAGTGGAGAGAAGGAAGGCTGAAGTTGGAATGTATTGTATGAGAGAAGAATAAATAAAAATAAAAAAATCTTCTGAAGGATTCTTTGGAGATCATGGAGTTTGGGACACTTTATGAGCCCCCCTCTTTTCTTAGGAAACACCTCTTCTGTTGTGTTTAAATGAATTTGGTGACATCACTTTTCTCTGCCTGTGGCAGGGTAACGGCTTATAGTGTTGGTAGACTCTGGGTACCAAATGATCCTTGTCAGTTTCCTTAGTCTTACTTTGCAACACTCTCTTCAAATTTCTTAATTTATTCTCACTTCCCTGCTGGGGCCCTAAGGCACATGTTGGGTAAAGAGCACTTAATAATCACCAGCTAATATTGGTACTGAGTAAATATACTTCGGGTAAAACAGAAATAAAATCATAAGGCTGGGAAACATGTACTTCAAAGAAGATACATCAGACAAGAAGGGACGACAAAACATCTCAGTGTCCACCTTCATAACCTGCTGTGCCCTGTTAAGTAAGCCATGAGACCTTTTCATATCACCACCATTCTATAGTCTGCAATATGACCTGTCAAAAACTCCCATTACCACAACCCTACTCCTTATACTTTCCCTGGTTACCTTGGAGAGCCACAAAATGAGGGAGGTACACAGCAGTCACAGCTCCCTGCTCAGCCTTGATGTCAAACAGAGGCCCAGCCACCATGTGACTGTGCTGCAAGGGAGTCTTGTCCAGGTGTTGGCTCCAGGAACAGAATCCAATCTCGATAGTCACTGCTCTTCTCACCACAAAGCGGAGTCCTGTGTTTGGACAGTGGTAGGAACCAGGCACAGGGAACTGAACTCTAGAAGAGGGAGAGGCAGACACCAGTGAACACCAGCCCTGCTTCTCTGCTGGGTGCAGACCCAGTGCAGGACTTCGGACACAGCAGACTTCTTCTAGACGGCTCTGAGTTGTGATTCCTCTGCTGTCTGTCTGTGGATCCCTGACTAAGTCATTCAACCCACAAATCTGTTTCCTCATCTATACACAGGGGTAACAAGGACAACACCATCTTATGGACCTGTGAGTACCGAGTGATCTATAGAAAGCCTACAGGTAACACACACATAGAGCATTTGGATATGCCTGTGATGATGATGAGGGTGATGAAAGAGGTGTGTGTGTGTGTGTGTGTGTGTGTGTGTGTGTGTGTGTGTGTGTGTGTATGTGTGTGTGTGTGTGTTAATTTCTGGGAATCAAGCTAGAACCTTGCACACTAGCCAAAGTCTCTACCACTGAGGTACATTTTCAGTTTTTAAGATTTTAAGTTGCTCAAATAAATATTTAAGGATATTTAAGAGATAAGAGAATCCAAATATAATGAGGGGACTAATGCTGTTTATATCATGAATAAAATAATCTGCAGAAAAACCACAATTCAGATACTGAGCCAAGTTGAGCACAGACTGTTTAGATGGAATGAAGGACTCCTGTCAGCTCTGTTGATGTGGTACTGGTGTGCTGGTCATGGAAGATGAGGTCCTGTCTTAACTACGGGGGAAGCGTAGTAAAACGTTTGTGTGTAAAGTCACCCGATGTCCTGGACTCACAATACTGTGACAGTGATGACAAAGAAGAAATGTGAGTAGTTAAAACAAACTTGGAAAAATGGTTGCTGGAGGTGAATAATTGGACAGGGAAGTTCTTGTGCTCTCTAGTTTTGTAAATGTTTGAAAATTTTATGAAAAAGACCTCTGTTTTCATAACAGCCCAAACTTCTTATTCCAGTCCTTGCCTTGCTTCTTGGATTGGTAAGGTGAGGAGGAGACACAGTAGAGACTAGGTGGGTGCTATCTGTGGGGATCCCTTGTGGAAATTGTGCTGGGGAAAGTCAGCCTTTGCCAGGCAGAGCTCACTCACCGGTACAGGTTGCTCTCTCTGTCAACCACCTCAGTAGCCACAGGTCCTGTAGGGCCCCAGAAGTCATCTTCAGTCCCCAGTGGTTCCAGGTGCTTGTCTCTTGGGGAGTCCGGTGGAGATGGATGGAAGGGCTCTGTAGTAGTAAATTGTGAGTATCACTCCTCTGGAGAGAGGCTAGGAAGTGGTCACTTTATGTCTCCTCAGACCTCCCTAGTACTGGCTCAAGGAACTCTGGGTGAAAACCAGGAAAATGTAGCTAGAGTTTTCCTGCCTGGCCCACAGTCAGGACAAATCTCTCTCACCTGCCAGTCCCACAGCCGCTCAGACCTGACCAAGTAAACACAGAGACTTATATTGCTTACAAATTGTATGGCCGTGGCAGGCTTCTTGCTAACTGTTCTTACAGCTTAAATTAATCCATTTCCATTTATCTATACCTTGCCACATGGCTCGTGGCTTATCAGCATCTTCACATGCTGTTTCTCATCATGGCGGCTGGCAGTGTCTCTCTCACCCAGCTTCCTGTTCTCTCAATTTTCCTCTCTGTTAGTCCCGCCTATACTTCCTGCCTGGCCACTGGTCAATCAGTGATTTATTCATTGACGAATCAGCAACACATTTGACATACAGACCATCCCATAGCAGGAAAACTCTGTTTTCCAGGTTCGCCTGCCTAGGTTTTACCAGGAAGTGTATCTACAGACTTTATTGTTTATTGCTCTTCCTGAGTTTACCTTCTACGTATGAATGTATGTATGTATGTATGTATGTATGTATGTATGTATGTATGTATCTATCTATCTATCTATCTATCTATCTACATACTACATACATATGTACATACATACACATACACACACATAGTGTTTTGTATAATTTTCTTACAACTGCTTGCCTTCTAAGCAATTCTACCTCCCTAGTATCTGCTCCCAACCCAGCTCTTGTGTTTCATTTCCTATTGGTCCAGAAATGTTGATTTTTCTAACATGACTTCAGTGGGTAGATTGTGAAAAGAATCTCAATGAAAAGATGAATGAGCATGGATGGAGGTGAGTCCCAGGCCATAGCAGCTCAGAATGAGACAGGGAGTCCTGGTACAGAGCCTGATGCAAGCCAGAGATTGATAGAGGGGCAGCACCAACCCCCAAGACTTGGAGAGAATGAAGCAGTACTCTGTCTGTGTTCTAGTTGCGGAAGATTTTTAAAGGGGTGGGGCTCTTTGTGGAGAGCCTGTCCTGGTCCATGTCAGAGACAGAGGGATAGAAATGATTTCCAGCACACTTGAGATCATGTCTTCTGTATGTGACAGGGACGTTGCACCCATGAAATCTCAACAATATTGCTGCCTCTATAAGATCTGCACAATGACAACACCAGTTGTAATGCTATGTGTATGAAGGAAATCTCACAAGGCCCCAGCTACTGATAACAGCTGCTAGAGAGGCAGTACTAGAATAAAATCACTCCTCTTCAGAAAGTACTCTATAATAGGTTATCCAATACCAAATGGTCAGCCTTAAATATATATACATGACCAACTCCAAATGGGGTCATTAGGCTGTATTAATATATACATATACATTCATATGTGTATTCACACATATATTTAACAATAATATTTAAGAAGAATTCATGAATTAGAGAGAGAAAGTTTGTGGGTGGGTCACAGGAAGACAGAGTGGGTAGATAGAGGGGTGGAAATAATCTAAATACAGTACCCACATTCATGTTTAAAATTCTAAAAAACAAAAACAAAATAAATTTTAAAAAGAAAGAAATTATGACTTCTCCTTATAGATGTCCCTTCATCTAGCAATCATGATGCTCTGGGTCTGAACCCATCACATACCTGCCTGTAGTCTCTGCCACTTAAATGAGTTTGGATTATCATCCATTTCTTCTCCATCCATGTTCTTTGAAGGATCCATCACATGTGGCTTCCTATACACAGACAAGTTCTTTCCCTCAGATGTCAGGAAAAACCAGGGAAATTAGGGTTTTGTACATGATATTCCCATGTAAAATCCAAGTCATTTGAACTTGAACTCATCCCATGCTTTTTTTTCTGTATCCCTAAGAATGCCCCCGTCCTCCTGGGTGTCCACACCCCAGAACTGGGATCATCTCAACCCCTCTTTTGCTCAAGTTTGAATGTGTATCCCAGTGTTCATACATTAGTAAGTTAATCCCCAAAGTCACAGTGCTTATAGGATGAAGGATAAGACACTATGAGATCATGAGTGCTCTGCTTTAACAAAGGAGTTAATGTCATCATCACAGAAATAGATTCCTGTGGCCTGACAGGACTTGTCCCTAAAGCTACCTCTCAGCTCTCAGCTGTCCCAATGGCACAGTAGAATGGAACAGGAAGAAGAGCTTATCTGGATGTAGGGTCCATGGCCTTACCTTTAGATGTAGGGTCCATGCCCTTACCCTTCTCTGTATCCAGAACTGCATGGAATAATCTCAGTTTTTACGTTAAGTGCCCAGTGTCAGACATTGAGTTATAGTTACACAAAACAAACTAATAATCACTCACCCTGAATGCCAGTCACCTAGACAGTGCCTCCCAAATCTCTCTCCTTTCTGTTCTCTACTCTCCCCTTCTACAGACTCCATCCTTGTCCTAGGATGGAGTGAGCAGTGTCCTGAACTTCTGCAGCATCCTCTGACAGGTATCCCTGCTTCTGATCTGATCCCTGCTAGCTCATTTTCTACACAGCAGCTGACCATAAAAAGTGGGAAGAGATGCCCCTTCATGGCCGAGGCACTGAAATGCCTTTCATTTCCCCTGGAGAGAAGCAGAAGGCTTTTACCATGGTTCATTGTTCTTGCTGTGGCCCCTGTCCCTCTCCAGGCCCTCCTATGTCACCCTTTCCTGCTCACTGACCTCTAGACCAGTGGCTCTCAAATCACTGTGTTAAAATGTCACCTGGACAGCCTGCTAAATCAGAGAGTTCACTAAAGGAAGCTGCCTCACTGGAGATTCTGAGTCAGCAGCGATGGACTGGGGCCTGAGAACCTGCATTTCATCATTCCAGATGATGGTGAGGTAGAGTAGATGGTCTTACACATTATTTCCTGTCCCTCAGTGGAGCTGGTCTCTCTGCTCTCGTAGAACTTCTATGTCTGCATGGAATTTTCTTCTTCTAGGTTTATCCTTCATTTCCAATCTTTGTGAATTCACCTCAGCTCACCTCAACTTTGGATGAGGTCAGAGAGACCAACACTGTAATAATATGGTTCCCAGGTACAATTATGTGACTGTGGGATAACAAGTGTCTCCTCCCTGCTGGACTGAGATAGCAAATGTTGGGCCGTGCCTGTCTTGCTCACTGATGTGCACTCAGATCTCAAAATAGTGTATGATGCACAGTAGGTCTGCAGGAATGTCTGTTCAATAAATGACTGATCCTCCTAAGTCTTTAAAACACCCTCCATTCAAGTGTGTCACAGCAGCTAGGAACTTGAGAACAGATGGAGTTCATGGTCATGAACTGAAATGTGCCAAAGTGGGAGAACATGGGTCTTCAGCACAGTCTCTGGAGTGGAAGATGACTTTCCTGTCCTGTGGCTTCTCCATCATACAGTGTGTGTGTGTGTGTGTGTGTGTGTGTGTGTGTGTGTGTGTGTGTGTATGTGGAGTTTGGACAGTGATACACATCGTGTTTTTCTCCCCAGAGTCTTTCTGTCTGTGTCTTTCTCTCCTAGTTTTGGTGACTGTTTTCACTGTTTAGTGGTCTCGGTTCACTGCCGGCTACTATTATCTACTATTATCACACTTGCTGTGCCAGAGGACTCACCACTAACTCAGCTTTTCATATTCTTTTTTCCCAATTGAAGAAATTAAGAAGGCATGCTATAATGATTTTATTTTTTGAACTTAAACAACCATAACACACACACACACACACACACACACACACACACACACACACACACACACACACCTTTCTCACTCTGTTCACTGTGGTTTCCTGGTTTCTGTGTGTATCTGCTTGTTTTTTTCCATCACCACAGGACACTTTTCCCATCTCTCAGCTCATCAGTATCCACATAGGGCCTGGGTTAACCAAAAGGAGTTCTGAGTCCACCACTTACCATGTGCTGGAGATGAGCAGCTGTGGATTCTTTGCCTCCAGGGCCCTGAGCTTCTTCATTACCTGGTCACTCAGAGGAGCCTTGTCTAGTCTGTAAGCACAAGAGGGGGATGTTTCATCTGAGATCCACCACAGCATCATGAGGCCTCAGGGTCCAGGATCCTGGACTCTGTTGTCTGTAGATGGAGCCAGTGAGGAGCCTTATTAAGGCTTATTCGTGATTCAAAACCAGGACAAAGGATGAAGAGTAGCGGGCTGCGTGGAGGGAGATGTGTACATGACACAGTCTCAATGGGGCTTGGTCAGTGTGCAGGGAGATCTGAATCTAGGATGAGGACATTTGGAACTTTCCAGAGCTGAAATGAGGGTCTTGCCCTTTATACCTCTTCTCCACAGTTCAGTCATTGGAAATAGACTGTCAGGGGAAAGGGAACATGGCCATAGATGAGGGGATTCTGATTGGCAAAGGGCCACACAGTAGCCATCAGGATTTTCAGTGACTAGAGGTCATGGCCATATCCCCAAAGGGAATGTGGGCAGCTCTTCAAAGTAAAGGCATAGTGCTGGGATGATGGGTATTCTCCTTGAGGGAAAGAGCCTTGGTTCCATTCTCACCTCCCTCCCCCTTCCCTCTGGTGTTAAGGGAGGAAGCCTTGTCCTTACACAGCAGCCACTACCTGAGGTCTGCTGGTCACATTCTTGTGATCCTCAAGTTTCAGGATTTCTGGATGTTAGGGTAGTGACCTTCTCTGGGTTTTCATATTCTCAGTCCATAACTGTAGCTACATCACTCCCATCTGCCTATTGTGAGGCACAGATAAGGCAAGATGGGGTAGCTTCCTGCACTAATGAGAGGCTGAGCAATGTCACATGCAGCAGATGCCAGCTCTGAACAGGCTCTTCAGCCTGTGAGAAACAGTCATGGCTAAAAGCAGGCTGGGGAACAAAGGTGCCAAGCAGCTGGGCCAGTTTCAGCTCCCAGAGAGGTAGAAAGAAAACCCTTCACTGCTTCTGTGCATTTAAACCAGAGAGCTGGAGAGATGGCTCAGCGGTTAAGAGCACATACTACTCTTCCAGAGGACCTGAGTTCAATTCCCAGAACCCACTTCAGGCAGTAACTCCATCTGTAACTCCAGTTCTGGGAGATTTTGACTCCTCTGGTCTCTGAGGGCACCTGCATTCACATATACCATGGGTTCTTGTGTGTGGAGGTGTCTAATGACCCTCTCACAGAGGCTGCCTATGGACATTGGAAATATCAAATATTTACATTAAAATTTGTATCATTAGAAAAATTATAGTTATAAAGTAATGAAGAAATAATTTTATGGTTTTGGGTCGCCAAAACATGAGGAGCTGTATTAAAGTGTTACAGCATTAGGAAGGTCGAAACCACTGGCATATACATACACAAGATTAGCATAATAATAATAACAATAACAATAATAATAACAATAATAGAGTTGAAGAAGAAGACCTGACAGAGGGCAGTCCCAGGGCATAGTACTGCTGGATTTCTTCTGTTGGCTGGAAGAACCAGAAGATTGGATAAAGGGGTTGAGAACCTCTGTGGTTCTCTGAGCCCATGAAGGGCACCGGCCAGCAACCTCTGGGAAGTTCCTCTAGAAACTGGCTGTGGCCTGTGCTGGGGAGATGGAGGCACAGGAGAGGGAGAAGCTCAGAGACAGCATGAAGGGGCTGAGTGGAGGACCAGAGTCTCCAGGGCTGTAGTTTGGAGGCTTCCGAGCTTGTGTGAAACTGTAGTGCAGGGGGAATGGCACCATTTCTGGTACAGAGGACTATCTCAGTAGTGAACCGGGTGACTCCAGGGCTCCAGCCTCTTTCTGTTCCAGACCTTTCCCCAACTCTGCCTTTGTCTGGGCCCTGGACTCAGCATGGTCCAACTAAGTCCTATTTCCACTTCAGGACTCAAAAAGCCATCCTGAGCCATTCAATAAAATCTCATCTTTCACAGCATGACATTCTTACAATACTGTCACCTCCACAGCATTCAGCAGAGCTTGTCAATACAGAGTCATGTGCTGGTGTTTGATCTATGTCTGTCTCTTTCCACCTAGCTTCAGGGGAACAGAGCCATGTGTGTTTGTAATTGTATTCCTAGGGTCTGGGCCAATGCTTACACATAGAGGGCCTGATATGAATGCCTGCATGGATTCATGATTGAATAAATGATTGAAGTACTGTCCTAGAGTAAGGCAAACCTTGGAGTCTTTCAGGATACACAGCCTTGCTAATACATGTGATTCCACTGTGCCCAGATACCTACCTGGTATTATCTTTGTTTTTACATATGTACATTTTGTGTCATTACAATCTATGAGGTGGGTATGACATTCTATTTAATAGATGAGGAAACTGAGTTTTAGAGAAGACAGTGACTTACCCAAGTCCCAGGGTATTAGTGGCACAGCTGTCAGGAGCTAGGCTGACTGTGCATTATCTGTCCCTTTTCTTTTCTATGTCTTGTCATCTAGTAATACACCTGTGTCTCTTCCCTTGCCTCCTGCTCAGAGGGAATCTCAGGTTATTACTTACCGCAGGATTCTGAGTTTGCAGGCAGGATTCCTGAGCTCTTCACATAGAAGTCTCACACCATGGTTGCCCAGGTCATTCAGCTGTAGGTCTAGCTCAGCCAGGCTGGAGCTGGCCCTGAGCAGAGAGGCCAGGACCACACAGTGGCTGGATGTGAGGCCACAGTTGACAAGCCTGCATGGGAGATGCTCACCATTAGCTTCTCCAGGCTCACTGCTCTTGGAAACTGAGCTCAGGTTTCCTTTTGTGAGCCCTGGTATGCTATGCTAGCAGTGTTTAGCTCTTTGGAGTGACCTTTCTAGTCTGGGTGGATAATCCATGCTTCCCACAGCTGAACAATGGAGTACCACTTGGGGACCACTGCTCTGATGTGACTGGCCATGCAGAGCTCCACAAGGCCCAAGACAGCTCACTAGTATATTTCAAGAATTATCTGAAGTGAAATTCAGGAGCCATTGAATAGGGCATGATTTAACTTGGCATGTAAAATCTTAATAAAGATGGAGTCCATAGAGACAGAGTAGATGGGGGGAGTGGGAGGAGGGATAAGAGGGGGATCTGTGTTTGGTATGTAAAATGAATAAAAATGAATAAAATAATAATAGTAGTAGTAGTAATAATAATAATAATAATAATAATAATAATAATAATAATAGTAAAAGAGTAGGAGGCTGGTTACAAGGGCAGAGAGCAGAAGGAAACGGAGAGATGCCATTCCCTGGGCCTGGAGCTTTCTCCCCATGGGCTTCCCTTTATCTCTGTGTTCGTCAGCTTTCCTAGATCCTTTCTCAGGAACTTTGCTCCACTGAAGACCTCACGGGCCTGTTGGTGGTGGGATTCCTTGATGAATATCAGTATCTCATGATCCCCAAGAACAGAATCCCATTTGTTTATCATAGCCAATCTGGCATCTGTCACAGGTGTGGCCAAGAAAGTTTGGTGAATATTTGATGAATACCAATCCTCACCCTAGACTCAGGTTTTGCGTTTGGTCTCCATTTCATCCATCTCTGCTTCAGGGGAGAATCGAGGTCAGACTCACCACAATGTCCTAAGATGACATCCAGAGCATCTCAGGGTCCTACGAAGACTCCACAGTGCAAAGAGGCTCACTGGATTTCCACTTAGGTCCAACTCCTCCAGGGTTCCTGTGAACTCAAGAGTGGAGAAGAGAATCTTCCAACTGGTATCCGTGATAGGGATCCACCTGGACCTGAAGGAGAGAGATATGGGGGGAGGTAATGAGGGATGTAACTTGTGAGTCCATGCTCTGAGATGCACATCCTCACACAGCACATTAGGTTTCTGTTATCCTGAGCACCAGGCCTCAATATGCCATCTCCAAGATTCACCAGCTTCTACATGCTCCTTTGCTCCAACATCTGGATCCTCTCCTCTGGGTGGTTCCTCATCTACATCCTTATCATAGCATGCTGTGTTTTTATTTTGTATGTCTGTTTCTGACTATTCTAAGTGTCCCACAGGTTATGAACTGGTGGCTGGCATCTTTTATTTTTAACCTACCGTACTAAGCACAGGGTCTGGCACAAAGGAGGACCATGGTAACACAGATGGTCTTCTTCCTTTTGATGTGACTATAACTGCTTCCCCTGGAACAGAATTCTGGAGTCTCATGAAGGAAAACTAGAAAGGGGAGGTGGAAAGAGAGGTCAGCAGAGATGGCTGAGCCTGACTGTGATGGGATGGTAAGCATGATTATAAACACTCCAGATGTGCTGGTTCACATGGTCCCTACATCTCTACAAGAATAGAAGACTTCAGAGAAGAAAGAGGGAGAGAGAGAGAGAGAGAGAGAGAGAGAGAGAGAGAGAGAGAGAGAGAAAGAGAGAGAGAGCAGCTCATAGTTGTAGTGCACTCCTTTAATGTGAAAAACCAAGCATATGAAGGCAGGAAAATAGTGAGTTCTAGGCCAGCCTAAGCTACAACCCTGAAGAGGCTAGGATCAACTCCAAGCCTGGCCTGTGCAACATTCTATCCCAAACACTATAAATGGAACAAAATAATAACTAAAAAATGCAACCCCAGAAACACTGATGAAAAGTGGCTAACTTTAACTGTAACAAAAGTTATAGGATATTTCATTCCAATTGTACAAAACCAAAAAAATGTCAAGGAAACCAAATACTAAACATTGAAGGATGGTGCTCTTTTAAAGGCTTTATTTATTTTTTACTTTGTGTGCACACTTGTATTCCTCCATGTCCTTGTGCACGCTGTACATGCAGAAGTCTGCAGAGGATAGAATCAGGGTCTTGGATCCTCTGGGAATGTAGTTAAAGGTGGTTGTGAACCATCAGTTGTGGGGGCTGGGAATGGATCCACATTCTCTACAAAACCAGCAAATGGTCTTAAACATGGAACCACTCCCCCAAATCTCAAAGTATGATAGTTTTGGTGCATGATTAGTATTTTCACTGAGTGAAAGTGGAACTTCAGAGTGTATTATTCAAAAATCAAGAGGTGCCTTTAGGAGCCCCACACAGAAATTGCTCACCTTGCTATCTTTGATACCTTAATTCCCTGGGCTGGTCCTTTCCCTTCCCTTGGCTTTGGACAGTCTCCACCTCTGAAGTGTTTCCCTTGTGTGCAATGGCCTCTTGCTTGTCTCCCTGCCTTGTCTGGCTGACATTTCCTCTCAACTTCCCTTCTCTCTAGCAGCTGAAGCCTCTCTTTTTCCCATGGGGTTGTCCCAGGAGCCTAAGGCCACTGTCTTTTGCAAACAGGATGGTGTTCCTGGTTTCTCTTGCTGTGTCTGGCTTGTCTCTGTACCTACTTAGAATTCTTCTGAAGGTCCACACAGACCACTTCTACTTGCAACATCAGTATCAAGGTCATCCAAGGCTTACTTGTATATAACAATAGACACTTAGTAACAATCTTAAATGGCGAAGACCAGAAAAATGGTCCAATTGGCCAAGATATTCTCCCTAGGGAATATTGTAATGCCATTCAGAATGTTAAGTAGACTTTTAGTAAACAGAGAAGACAGTCTAAATTCATTAAGTATATAGCCATGAGTATAAGATACTGTGTGGCTCAATTATATTGTAGAAAAGAATATAGAGAAAAGATTAAGAGGTATACTCCAATTCTTTACTTCATGCTTTGTACAAAATCTAGGGTCTTGAGATTCCTAAATGTGGTGTTTTGAATGAGATATGTATTATCAAATACCAAGAGTCATGGGTATTTGAATGCTTTGTCCTCAATTGGTGGTACTATTTAAGAAAGCTTGGGAGGTATGGCTTTGTGTAAGGAAGTATGTTACAGGGGGATGGGTTTAAGTTTCAACGTCTAGAGCAATTCCTCGTTCACCACTTCTGCCTCCTGCTTGTGGTTCAAGAACGATCTCTCAGCTGGGGCTCCAGTCACATCCTTTCCCTCTGCCAGGATGGACCCTGATCCTTCTGGAACCATGAACCCAAATAAACTCTTCTATAAGTTGCCTTGGCCATGGTGTTCTATCACAGCAACAGAAAAGTAACCAACACTAGGCAATCTCTCTATCAATGAGTTCCATCCTTAGCCATTAGTATTTTGAGACAGTGTCACACTAATTAGCCCAGGCTGGACTGGGACTACTGGTCTTCTTGCCTCAGCCTTCTGAGTTTGGGATGACAGGTGTGCGTGACCAAGCTCAGTTAACCCAAATTTTAATACTGTCCTGTCTGAGAAATGGAATTCTGGAGGATACTAATGTATTTTGTTTGGATAATTGATATATCTCACTCTTCTACAATGAGTATGTTTTTAATTAGGTCCTACTAGTCACATACAATGAGTCACTGGGACAACTTCCCGTTCGTGTGTGACACAGTTTGATCACGTCTGTGTTCTCTGACCCATTTTCTCTCTACTCTTCTTCCCCTTCCTGTTCTCTAACAGCTGCTCCACGACTTTTAAGTCATTTACTTTTCATGTGGGCTTTTGTGTGTTGTTCAGACTGGTGCCAAAGCCAGAACTCTAGAAATCTTCCAGTGTTAGCCACCAGAATGATGGGATTTCAAATGTCTGCTGGCCAAGCCCAGATCAGGTTATCTGGGGAAAAGCTTCAATGTGTAGAAACAGAAGACTCAAAGAAAAAAAAAATCTCTTCCTCGGAGAATCTCTCCCTTTCTGGTCCACTTGAGTGAGCATTCCCTTCCCTGATACCCGGTGTGTGCCTGATCAATGCAAGAGTCACACCCTACGTAATTAGTGTACTTGACTGCCTTAGCTCCACCTTTTGACGTCCTCATGGCAGCACCTGTACTTTTCCTCCTGTAATTGATTGGTCGGGCCTGCCATGAAATGAGTGCTCAATGAATATTGATGATGTGAATCATCTAGAGGGGAGAGAGACACATTCTGGTACTGAGTCACCAATACAGCACAGTGGAATGGGAAGTGTATCTTGCTATTGGGATTGGCAAGAAATTAGGAAGCCTTCAGGCTGAGTGCCAGGGTCAGACTGCCTTCATTGATACAAGCTGGGTAGTGAAAACATAGGAATTCTCATACATATGATTTCTGAGGTGATGGGGCAAGACCTCATGGCCAAGGTCACAGTCATGGGCAAGGAGGATGGTTCCTGTAGGAGCTGAATGGGCAGTTCCTCCGAGATAACGCATGGTAAGAGAGAGGTCCAGTAGTTGTGGGCCATTTGAACCTTGTGAATGGTGAAGATATTTTGAATCAGAGAATGTAGGTGATCCTCACTGAAGCATAGGGAGAGATGGATCATAGCACCCACATACAGTCAGACACACAGAAGCAATAGAGAAAGGTGGTCAGATTCAGTAGTTAGATGTCACTGGTAACCTGTATCCTGCTGTCCTGGAACCAGCTAAGAGTGCTGCTGGTGCTCAGAACATGTGTGCTCTTGGGATCCACAGGGAAGCTGGAGAGAGGGCTGTGTCTGGATACTCACAGAACCATCCTCGGGGCCATTGGTTTTTGTCCATGCTGTCCACCCCCATTCAGCTGAAGCCTCTTCACATGGTGGCAGTACTTAATACAGAAAGTGACTACCATGAGTTCTACATCTGTCTGGATCACCAGGTGCTTCACATTTGTCTGGAACCCTGGGTGTGTCATATCTGTCGGGTCACACGCCTTTTCTCTTTTAAGATTGTGCATCACCTGTGTTAGGAGCTCTTCTTTCTGAATCTCATACAAACAATGAAACAACCCCAGAGAATAGAGATGCTGGTGCTGGGGCAATGCCCTGGCTTTATCCAGAATTTCCCATATGGTGTTCAGAGGCAAGTGGGTGGTGAAGATCTTCTCCATTTCATTCACACCTTGTTCACTCAAAAGGCCAAACAGGAAGCGTATGGTGGGTGCCTCAAACAGGTCTTGTCTTCCATACACTTCTATCAGTGTTTCCACAACTCTGTAGTTTTCCATATCACTGCATTTCTCCTCATTATTCCCCAAGATGCAGGACATTGCTGCAAAGAACTCCTGGAGACACAATTGGGCAAAGCTATAGTTCTGAGAGCTGGGTTGCTTTTGAAGGACACCCATCTTTAGGAAAGTGGCAATGACATCCTCAGATAACCCTTGCTCATAGAGATCTCTCTTACTGAACAGGGTCCTTCTTCTGCAGATCCCCTCAGCAGCCAGTGAGCAGAGAACTCTTAGATGGGTCCCTAGGGCATGATTTGGGAGAGTCTGGGAAAGGTATTTCAGGCAGAGAGCTGTGGTGGTCTGTGAGGTCAGTGAGAGGTCTCTTCCCTGCTCCATCTGCTGCTTCAGGCAAGTGCAGACCAGCCAGGATACCCAGGGCACCAGACACAGTGTTGAGAGAACTGGGTTTGAGTCAACCAAGCTAAAAGCTGTAATTGCTTCGCTTTTCTCTGAAAAATATTTGTTGAAATATTCCTTCCATCCAGACTCAGAGAAACCCAGGACTTCCACCCAACGTGGCTGCCACAAGGAAGGAATAAATTTCTGGAGAGCTGTGGTCCTAGCTGTGAGTAGCAAGGAAGCCCCAGGAAGCATGGATTTCCTCAGCAAACTGCCCAGCAGTCTGTGCACAGGCTGTGGCTGGCTCCAGTGCAGACAGAGCTGAGGATTCTGCTCCTTCAAGACCCATGCTGGCTCATCTATACCATCCAGAATGAAGAGCAGCTTCTTGGGCTGAGACAGAATCTTCCTGATGGGAGCTACAGGCACAGTCTGGTCTTTTGCTATGAGCTCAGCCAGACTCAGCTGTTTGCACTGGGCCAGCTCTCTGCAGCTGAAGTAGAAGACATGCTGGAAGCGATTCCTGTAGAGCTGGCCTTCCTCCCATGCTCTCCTCACCTGCCTGGCCAGTGTTGACTTCCCAATCCCAGCAGCCCCCTCTAATATGACTAGTTGAGGCTCTTCCTGGGTATCCGGGTTTGGCTTAAATAAGTCTTGGATCTCAATCAGATGTCCTCTCTCCTCTGCTACACATTGATGCCAGCTTTTTCTGTCCAAAGTCTTCCAGCCTCTTGGGCAAGGTTTTTGTAGAAGTAGTAGCTGTGTGAAATTTTGGAGCAAATTCTCTGTTTTCAATGTCTCTATGAAGTAAAGCTCATCGTTTTCTTCCAGGTTCTGATATATTTTTGGAACGGTTCCTAAATAAAGGAGAGAAAGATGGAGCATAAGTGTACACAGTAGAGTTGTTTGTTCTTTCATTACTTTCTCTCTTCCGTCTTTTCATCCTTCAACAACTGGATAAGCTTAAGTATCTGTCTAAGCTGTACAACAGACTGCCTGTGAACAGTGAAGTGCAAAGAACTTGAGCTTTAGAGTCGAAGATTCTAGTTCAAGTATTCACTTGACCTATAATAATGCTGTGTGACCTTAATCTACACACCAGATACTTATCAATGTCTTACTCTGTGCCAGGCCTGCTTTTGGGGCTGAGAATAAAGGGTGAGTTCACAGACGCAGCTATGTCTTTGTTCAGTATGCAATGATCCAGTAGCTCCACTGAGCTTTGGCTTTCTCATCTGTAATTTGGGGGCTGTCGTCTATCCCTGTAGGAGGCCATGGAGTACTGGGAGATTATAGACAGTGGAATCAATGTTTGCTCCTGACAGATCACATTGGCTCCCACCTTTGTAGTCCTGACAACATCATTTTATAAATCCTGGTATTCTTTGTCTGTTGGGATGGTCTTGGGATGCCTTAGAGTTTATGTTCAGGACATGGACTTGTCCCTGTCTCCAGGACTGGCAATCCCTGGGTTATTTTGTACTGCCTTCCAGATATCATTGGTAACAACAAGCCTTGTTTGTGGCTACTGTTTGGGTGCCTTTTGTCCTCTCTGAAACTCATGTAGAAACTCAGTTGCCAGTGTGGCAGTATGGGGAAAAGGGTCTAGTGTGAATGTTTGGAGACATGGAAGCAGGCCCCTTATTAATTGATCAATACTTTTCCTTTAGGAATGGGCAAGCTTTTGGGGGGAGGAGTTCCCTTTCTCTCTTGAAGGTAGCTGCTTGCCAGTATAATTTTTTTCTTAAGTTAAGCAATCATAGTCTCTACTTGAACTTCCCATCTCCAGAACTACAATTTAATATACGTGTTCTAAACAAACATACAACAAAAAACCAAAAACCACTGGGTATGATTGTGTAATCCTGTAATTCATCACTCAGAAGACAGAGGCAGGAGAATCAGGAGCTTAGAGCCAGCTTTTCCATATGGTGAGTTTGGAAACCTCCTAAGCTATAATCATCAATCAGTCCAATCAATCAATCAGTCAGTCAATCAAACAAACAACAAGAATAACAAAAGTTTCCCAGTCTCTGTTTCCTGTCCTGCCAATGGAAAACACATGAACGCACTTGCTCTTGATGTAACCTGCTCCACCGTTCACCACAGCACACTTCGCTGGCTTCCTCCTTCCTTCCCTACACCCCCTTCCTCCAGCCAGTGCATCCAAGGAGTCCTCTCTCCAGTTTTGGACCTGACCACAAATTTCATCTCAGCATCTTCTTTGGAAGAAACTTAAGATAAGACAGATAGGATGATGCCCCATAGACCAGAATCCAGGTTCATCCCTCAGCACCTGCCCTTTGCCCAAACTACAAGGCAGCTGCCTGTCTTGTCCTGGCCAAGGTGCTGAAGAAAATTTGGAGAGCTCACAGATTGTAGCATCAATGCACAAAATTAGCCATTGAGAGTTTGGCTTCACGGGCCAACTTGCCTCTGAAATCAAGATCTATAGATTTGCTCTCATTGTCTTCTGTAGGAAGACTTCTAAGATCTCCTGAGTGTACCAGGCTGGTCACTCATGTCTGTGGCCAAGGTCTTCCTGGCTCAGGCCATGTCTGCCCCAGGTGCAAAGGAAGGAGTCAGTTCTTCCAAGGCTATGCTGTCCAAGATCTTCCACCTGGAATGTATCTGTTACCATGCACACATCTAAATTTTCTTTAGTTCTGTGACACTTAAAAAGCTCCTGGTGCAGCAAGATGGTTCAGAAGTTAAAGAGCCATCAGCAGAAGCATGTGGACTAGAATTTGGATCCCAGGGCCCCATGCACATGCTGTGTTTGCACTGTGGCCCCTGTCACTTCAGGTTCAGTAAGCTGAGACATGAGATCCCCAGAGCAAGATCACTAGCTAGACTTGCTCCATTGACAAGCTCTGGATGTAGATGATAGGAGATTCTGCCTCAATGAATAAAGAGAGAGCAACTGAGGAAGATTCTTGACATCAGTTTAAAGTGTCCACATACACACAGTGCAACTTCTAACATACGTATGCCCAATATGTGCAAATACGCATACACATATGTATCCACAGCATACACATACACAAAATGAAAAGGCCAATTAAAAATCTTCAGAAAATAGATGGTAATGGGAAATATTCTATTAAATGAGATCATCCATGCCTAGGTAGACAAATGCCAAAATTTCTCTGCCACATACAGATTCTTGGTTGATATATTAAGATTTGTATGTTTAATTTGTTTTTTAAAGTTTGTTAATTTTTTTGAGAATTTCCTACACACATACTATAGTTTTATCATTTCCAGCCTTCTGTAACTTCTCTACCCCTCCAACCACTCCTCTGTCACCTCTTTCCCATTAAGTTCACTTTTTCTTTTTTATTGATAGATATACAGATACATACATATATGCACTCATACATACATGCATGCATGCACGTATACATACATAAATGCATATATACATACATTCTCTCGAGTCCATTTAGTTGCTGCTGTTATATATTTAATTATGACCACTTGGTATTGGATAACCTATGAGGGCCTCATCTCTGGAGAAGACTGAGTCTCTCTCTCAACAGCCATTAATTGCCTGTAGGTTTTTATCTAGAGGTGGAACCATGTGAGACTTATTTGGAGTGTCTCTAGAGATCAAGAAGCTATAATGAGACCAGTAGAGGGGTAGAGTAAGGGGTCTTAACTGGTGTGGGCAGAGGAGAACCCCTGTGATATGAAAATGGGGTTCAAAGTTGAAGTGAGGATAGAGATTGTGTGACAGGGAGGGGGAGTGTGTGGGAATGGGCTAACCAATACTAACAATGTTTGAAAGATCCTATGAAAACACAACACTTTGTAAACTAATCAAAAATATAACTCAAATAAATGTAAGCTAGTGAGCAATGGGTACACTGTGCTTTCCTTAGAAGATACGAGTTAATAGGAAAACCTCAATGTCAAGCATGGAGTACCTCCCTGAGAGTTACTGGTCAGGGAGGATGTGGAGGCTCCAAAACCAGCAAAGCCTGTTACTGTTGCTGAAGACATAAAGTACTTCTGTTACAGGACTTAGAGACTCCAAGTTGGAACAGTCATGAAACTTCTTCCATCCTGGCTAACTTTCATAGTACTAGGTGTTATGAGGCCGATGGGGGAGAAAACCCATCAATGCTATTACCTGGTGGTAACCCTCAATGCTGAAATAATGACCTGCCATGTAAGACACTCTCACTGATGCAACAGTTGCAGGAAGGTTGTAGTGTAACCAATTGCCTTTTGAGTACGTTTAGGAATTTCTTTCTTCCTCTCTCTCTCTCTCTCTTTTTTTTGAAACAGAATTTCTCTGTGTAACAGACCTGTGTGTCTTGGAACTTACTTTGCAGAGCAGGCTGGCCTCAAACTCATAGATAACCACCTCCCTCTGCCTCCTGAGTGATGGGATTAAAGGTGTGCACTATACACTCAGCTGATTTGAGTTATTTCTGATTAGATTTGAATTTCCAGGGAGGGAATTCATGCGTGGTACTGTAAATGTGGTCTAAAGTCCATGGCTCAGGAGGTACTAGGTCCTAGGGGAGGACCTATTGTTGTTGTTTTGCTAAATGGACATACTGTTAATCTACCTTCTGAATATTTATGTTTATTCCCATTGACTAATGTTTCTATCAACCTTGTCCAGAGAAACTTCTCTCTGCAGTGGGCAGCAACTAATGTAGAGACTCATATTCAAATGCTGATTAAGTATCTGCTGTGTGTTTGGCTCTAAGTGGGTTGTCTGAGTGGGGTAGAAAGAATGAAAAAGTTGAAGGACAAGAAGAAGTATGTCCCTGAGATGTGTTTTTCTAGATGTTACATGACTATTGTGCTCATGAATTCACTACAAGCTATAGTTGTTTGTACATGACTTATGCAATCCCAGCACAACAGGGTCAGTCATTATTATATATATATATATATATATATATATATATATATATATATATATATATATACACAAACACACACAAATACAGAGAGAGAGAGAGAGAGAGAGAGAGAGAGAGAGAGTTATATTTGGCCAATGTTTGCCAACCTCAGCAGGCCACTTATTTTTGTAAGGTAAAAATAATAGAAATAATTGTTAAGTGTGTAAACAGATAAAACCAGAAGAAGAATATTTCATATTATGAAAAGTATATGAAATTCAAAATTTAGTTTTTAGTGTAAGAGGACTGCCCATGAAGGAAAGGAAGAAATATGAAGGGAGGGGGAGGGGACAAGAAAGGGTAATAGCGCAGGTATGTCATGAAAGGAGGGAGGCTATCTGGGGAGAGGAAGGGGCCAGGAAGAGAGGGAGGTGTAACACAAATCTTAAAATGTCTTATAATAAAAAACCCAGAGCCAGGTATTGGGATGAAAGCTGAAAGATCAGAGAAGAACAGCCAGTGATTAACTTACATCTACAAAATCCTCAGCCTCAGGAGAGCGAGTTCCTGTTTCCTCACGCCTTATGTATCTTTCTGTGTCCTGCATTATTACTTCCTGGGATTAAAGGTGTGTGTCACCACTGCCTAGTTCTGTTTCTCTCATGTAGCCCAGTGTGGCCTTGAAATCACAGCCATCCAGATGGGTCTCTGCTTCCCGAGTGATAGGATTAAAGGTGCTTGCCACCACTGCCTGACCTCTACATTGAATTTAGTGGCTGGCTCTGTCCTCTGATCCCCAGGTATGCTTTATTGGGGTACACAATATATCATCACAGGGAGGGTCAGAGGGGATGACAATGGGAGGAAAATGAGACTTTGATGATGTTTATATATGAAAATGTCATGAAGCCCATCTCTGGATGCTAACCAAAAAAAAAAAAAAAGACAAAGAAGGAAAGAAAGAAGGAAGGAGGGAAGGAGAAGTGATGGGAAGGGAAGAAAGAAAGAAAGAAAGAAAGAAAG